CCTTCGCTTTCTCCTCTTTGCAGGCACTTCGCTCTTCCTCTGTCTCTGCATTCACTTTTACCAAACTCTTTTCATCTTTACCCAGCATGATGGTTGGAGGTGGTAGCAGTTGCAGGTCACGTTGAGGAAAATTGTTCTGCCTCAGCTATATGTAGCTGAGATGTATGTCTCTTTTGACCCTTTTTTTTTATTAATATAATTAAAATGGTGAGACATTGGAATAGCACCTCATGACCAACTTTCTCCATCCTGTCATTTACCTCCTTTGTGTTTTTTCCCTAGCCTAAAACCTAAAGTTGTAGTGTTTCATTCATTGCTAACCATAGTATTGGGAACAGTTAGCTATCAGTTGGTGTTGCTAGACCTGAATGCAAGAATGGAAAATGATTGGCTTGGTTCTCAAGTGAATTTGTAGGAATTTCTGTAGTCATCTCTAGTATGTTTGTCTTGAGACTAGAATAGTGATGTTAAAGCTGATCATTTGCCTTGGACTGAGGTTATCATAGTCAAATGTACAGGCTGTAAATTACTGGTTTTCAAAAGTAGGGATAGATTTTAACTTTTTTTTTTTTGGTATAAGGTAGGGACCTCTGGTGGTTCTTTTTATTGGTTATTGTGATCAGGCTTTTCAAAGTAATCAGCGCCAGAAATGAGTGAGCATTCCATAGCCATAAAGTTTCATGGAGCCCAAAGCAGAGTTTGTATAAAGTTTTAAGATTTGACACTGAAAAGTTGCTTCAGAGCACATGGGAGCATAAATGCAGCACTTGTCAGCCCCATAACAGGCACACTACTTCAGTAAATCACTGACTACATGTTTGCTTTTCTGTATACTCTGAAACAGCTTTTTAGAATATTATTCAAAGTGTTCCCCAGCCACATAAAGCACATAAGTTGAGCAGTATATGATATATAGCATATTATGGCTACTGTCTTATTGCATCTCTAGGCAGGCTTGTTGTTTTCTGCTTCATGAGAGTAATGCTTCAGACTCAGATTTTCAGTTTAAGTCCCGCTCATTTTTCTTATTGTTATTCAAACACTGTATCAGTAAATCATTGAAAATAAAAAATAGCACAATAAACAACAAAAATACACAGATATATATATTAAGAAAAGAATATAATTCGGCAGTGTATACACATATTTGCAGTTTTAAGGAGAAATATGAAAATCTCTTTTCAATAAATTTTCAGTATTTCTATCCAAAAAGACAGGCAGAGATATATATAGGAATTGAAAAGGATAAAGAAGCTCAGTGATTCTTTAAAATTAGGAATGGTTTGAAACAAAATGCAAAGAGAATAATCTGAAGGCATTCATAATCTAGAGGAAAGCTGTTCCATAGTGTTGGTACCATCTTGGAAAAGCAGCACTTTTTGGCTTCAACTTCATTCACCTTATAGAATTAGGGTATCACAAGCAGCTTCTGCAAGAGAGCCTCCTTGAATGGGCTGAATCTGGTTAGAGTAGGTAGTCTTGGAAATACATAGGTACCAAGGCATATAAATCAAACTAGCACTTTGAAATTCACCTAGAAATCTATTGGTAACTAATGCAGGGTCCACAAAATAGGTGTAACACATGGTGACTAATGCCATTTAACAAGCAGACTGCTGCATTTTGGACCTGCTCAGCTTCTGAGACATCTTCAAAGCTACCCTATTTAGAATATATTGCATTGTGATAAGGGCATGAGTTCTTATATTGCTTTATATAAAGAAGTATTTTAGTTGAAAATTTATGAAAGTCTGTTTTAAATTTAAAAAATCTTTTTTTTACAGATGGACCAGTCATCTCCAACCTATATGATTGCTAATTTAATCCCCTTACATTCAGAGCAACTCCTGCAAGGCCTGAATCTACTCCGCCAGCACCATGAACTCTGCGATGTCATCCTTCGTGTTGGAGATGTCAAGATCCATGCCCATAAAGTTGTGCTTGCTAGTATCAGCCCATATTTCAAAGCCATGTTCAGTGGCAATCTTTCCGAGAAGGAGAACTCAGAGGTGGAATTCCAGTGCATTGCAGAAGCAGCTCTGCAGGCCATAGTGGAATACGCCTATACAGGGACTGTATTCATATCACAGGACACTGTGGAATCACTTCTGCCTGCTGCCAATCTCTTGCAAATCAAACTTGTGCTGAAAGAATGTTGTACCTTTTTGGAAAGCCAGCTGGATCCTGGCAATTGTATTGGGATCTCCCGTTTTGCAGAGACATATGGCTGCCATGATCTCTACTCAGCTGCCAATAAATATATTTGCCAGAACTTTGAAGATGTTTGTCAAACAGAAGAGTTCTTTGAACTTACCCATTCTGAGCTGGATGAAATTGTTTCCAACGACTGCTTGAATGTGGTTACGGAGGAAATGGTTTTTTATGCACTGGAATCTTGGATCAAATATGATGTGCAGGAGCGTCAGAAATTTCTGGCGCAGCTGCTTCATTGCGTACGGCTGCCTCTGTTGAGTGTTAAATTTCTCACAAGACTTTATGAAGCCAATCATCTCATTCGTGATGACCACACTTGTAAACACCTGTTGAATGAAGCCCTGAAATACCATTTCATGCCTGAACATAGGCTTTCATATCAGACTGTACTAACTACACGTCCTCGCTGCCCTCCTAAAGTACTCTGTGCAGTGGGAGGAAAAGCTGGACTCTTTGCGTGTTTGGAAAGGTGAGAAATAACAAGAGCCACAAGCACAAAAAAAAGGGGAGGTTGAGCAGATTTGTCTTGCTAATCTTTTCTGTTCACAAGTCAAGATAGCTAGCAGTGGAACCCACCTCTGTGGAAAATTGGATGATAGAGTTTTTGACAACCTTCAGTTGCTTGTCATGCCATAGTACAAGAACGGGAATAGTTTGGAATGGAAAAGCCTCAGAAAAGCAGATAATTGGCAGGGTGTTTTAATTTGCAACGCTCTTCATTTTGCTGTTGTTCTCACTGTCACAGTTCTGTAAGAATCATTAGCATTCTTTTAGTTCAGGAATATATTTATATCTTAATCATATGACTCTAATTTATCCTGTTTATTAAAAAAGTGAAGAAATTTCAGTTTTTTTTCACAATTAAGTGTAAAATGGTGTTACAAATGAGATCAAAATTAAGCTGCAAATTTAACTTCTGTTGTGTTAGAAGTATGAATGGCCTTATTATTTTTGTTTGTCAACTATCAGAGCTCTTACTGCAACAGAAATATGGTGAGGTTACATATCCTTTAGGTAATGAGATCAGTCTCATTACCTAAAATTGCTAGCTGTAAAATTTATGATTGAGCTCATATTTGGAAAGTCAACAACCTACTGGATGCTGTCTCCCCCACCTCACCTTTTAAGGGCTATATTTTACTTGACTACATTCTCTCCAAATATTGCGTAGTAGTTTTATGAATAGTAGTATTACTGTGGAAGAGATACTGCTACTAGTTTAAATTCCCTTTCTTCCTGAGAATCCTTGCCCTCAGACCACTCTAAAGGTTTAGGAGATCTTACACAGTAGATTTTGTGTGAACTGCTTATATATTGAATTTAACCTGTTGCAGCAGCAGCAATTGAAAGACTTTGAAGGATAGATGAAAAACCAGGTAGGATGGCTTCACTCTGCAAACTTTGCCCATTAAACAGAATCTAAGTTCAGGTGAGCAATCTTTTCATTAAATAGGTGAGCTGTTTTTGAGAACAATAAAGCTCTGCTTTTGTAGAGTTGAGTGATATAAAGTGTCATGGTGCAAGGAAGATTTTGTGAAGGTATCCTCCATGTATTCTCAGAGCAAATAATGAATAATTGCATTCTTATGTTAATTTCATATTAAGAAATGTTGCAAGTAAAATTATATTTAAGTATTGTTATTCTGATTTTCCTTCCAATTCTTACAATTTAGAGACTGGTTTCATACCTCACACTGAGCAGTGGTTAGTTTATGATTAGTTTGATGAATATACCACAGAGATCACACATAACTTAAGCCATCAACTATTTATATGCCATAATGACTTGGTTGCACAGGGCATTAAGCCCGAACCAAACCATATTATGGCTTAACACAAAATATGTATTCAATCACAATATTTTTGGGAGGTCCCCCTGATCTATTTAGAAGATGGTTCAGTATCAAGCAACTACCCTGGAGTTTTTGTTTTTTTAAAAAACACCTCTTTGAATGAGGAGATACAGGTTAAAAGTATTTAAATTCTATTTTGGGTAGTGGTTTTTGATATGTTGAAATTTCATTTTGCCTCATTACTTTTTTTTCTCCTCCAGTGTTGAGATGTATTTTCCTAAGAATGACTCCTGGATAGGCTTGGCACCTCTGAGTGTTCCTCGCTATGAATTTGGAATCTGTGCCCTTGATCAGAAAATCTATGTAATAGGAGGAATTGCAACCCATATGTGTCAAGGCATCAATTATCGGAAACATGAAAGCTCTGTGGAATGCTGGGACCCCGATACAAACACTTGGACATCAGTTGAGAGTATGAATGAGAGTCGAAGTACTTTGGGAGTAGCAGTTCTGTCACGAGAAATCTATGCTTTGGGGGGTTATGACGGGCAGTCCTACCTGCAATCAGTGGAGAAGTATATTCCAAAGGTGAAGGAGTGGCAGCCTGTTGCACCAATGAACAAAACCAGGAGTTGCTTTGCTGCAGCTGTTTTGGATGGAATGATTTATGCCATTGGGGGCTATGGTCCAGCTCATATGAACAGGCAAGTGTATATTTACACTTGGAAAGATAGATAGATAGATAGATAGATAGATAGATAGATAGATAGATAGATAGATAGATAGATAGATGATATGTGCAGGACTGTCTACCATATTAATTATTCCCGCTATGCCTTGTTAAGTCATGCTTTAGGTAATTTGTCCAAGGAATTCCCTGTGATTGTTTATTAAAATTATAGTTGTGTTTTCCTTCAAAACTTGGGAGGAGGAAACTGTATGTTTAGTTAAGTTTTAAATCATCTTATGGCTAGAAGGTTACTTAGAAATGTCCTTGAACCATTTATTGGTCATGTGCATGCACATGTCAGACACCAAGCTTTGTTTCTAACTAAATACTCACTTTATGAGAGCTCCTGGTTGATGATGCAAGAGTAGATATCTGATATTCAAGCCTTGTAGGGCAACTTAATTTTAGCAGACTTGGGTTATGTTCCTGAGCTACAGTGAAATGTGAAATAGCCACGTTTTATGCTAGTGTGTTGCATAACTACACTTGTGGCTGGTTCACGGTTTAGTGTGCCCATGTTAACCCAATTTTCTGAAGTATTAGGGGAACAATAGTTAAATTAACAATAGGTAAGAGTATAATGTGAACACAGCCTGGGAATTTTTTCCTATATCTATGTTAGTTTTAATTACAGCAAGAATTCCCCAGGTTAAACCCATACAAAATTAGAGTCCAACTTATCAATTATAGCTTTTATGTCATTTAATTCTAGTCCAATCCACTGTACAGACTTTCAGTAGGCAATCCTCATTAAAAAAAAGTTAAATCTAAAGTAATATCCTGGAGTTAAAATTGTTCTAAAACTTAATCAAAACTTGGCTATATAAAGAACTTCATGAACATGGAATAACACCACTGCAGGCAAATGTTCAAGTCTCTTCTGATTGATGAGTTTCTTGTGGAAAAATAGCTTCACGGTCAACTAGCAGAACTTAAGTTAGTATGTGATTTGTATGTGATTACTACAAAGAGATCGTGGAAGTTCTTGAACGAAATGTAGAAGCTTCTGGAAGCTGGAGTATTGCCATGATTTATGGCCTGTTTGGAGGAAGCATGGTTTGTGTTTCCCAAACGCAAATGGATTTTATTTTGGTGGGAGGGGGGAGGTTCCCAGCACTATAAACAGACTAGAGACTGCATATTTTATTTAATTAAAAATCCTATATGGATTTTTAGCCCAGAGGTTATAGATCTTGGCTTAAATGCCTGTCATTATTTCTTGCTACTCCTGGCCTGTTCCTCCTTTCTTCAAGATATATGAAGATCGCTTGGAGAGGAAAACAGGTAGTTTCTTTTCATTCCTTCTGGACTTTTGTAGAAGCCCAGTGAAAAGGCAATAGAGAAATGCCCTGTTCTTTCCCTTGGAGTTTCGCAGTTCACTGAACATTTGCAGAAGGGGGGGACAAAAGAAGTTTGGGGTGGACATGAATGCAGAGGTGATTCTTAATGGTGACCTAGGGAATGGATTTGTAGAATCCTGTCCATGACCAACTGTCTGGCCAATGGTGATGGACGTAGAGCAAAATAATTTTGAACTAAATCAAACAGGGTAGGTACAAAATTTTCATGGCCTTACACTGCTGCAGGCAGATGTTTGAGTCTCTTTACCTTATTGCCCTACATTTGCTACCTTTTTACAATTTTTTTTTATTCCTGTTTCACACTTCATTTTCTACATGTGGAAATGTTCATAGTATTTTAGTCATCAAAAGGACATACAGCCCAATCCTGTTAAATGAGGGTGAAGGTATTTTTTTTTCTTTGTATTGTTTTATTGTGGCTAGGTGCAATACTCCCTTTTACCTCTTCTGTTGCATAATTGTCTTACATCCATTGATTTAAAAATTAGTTGCTTCTTTTTGTGCCTTAAGCCATAATCAGTCCTTTTTCCCCTTTTGGTCCATGATTTCCACCTTGACTGTACTGTTTTTATGTGCTATCAAAATACCTTGACTATAACTGTTGTATTATGGAATATCTCAGGAGGCCATTGAAGCTGCATTCATGTGGGAATCGCAACATGCTGGTTATCCCTCATGAGTGCAGTTACAGTAGTGTCTTGCAGTAATCAGTGAAAACTCTTGTCATTAAATATTGTTGTTTGTTTTCATCTGCAGTGTGGAACGTTATGATCCCAACAAGGACTCCTGGGAAACCGTTGCACCGATGGCAGACAAGAGAATAAACTTTGGTGTTGGGGTTATGCTAGGCTTCATTTTTGTAGTTGGAGGGCATAATGGTGTTTCTCACTTGTCCAGCATTGAGCGGTATGATCCACACCAAAACCAGTGGACTGTTTGTCATCCAATGAAGGAACCCAGAACAGGTAATAAACTTCTCAATAGCTGCTGTTGTTCAGCTAAATTTTGCTGTTCTTTTTTTTCATGTGACTTTGGGAGTAATTAAGTCTTACCTTGAACAAATTCACCTTACCATGCTATTACTATGCAAATAGAATATCATGTAAGAATATCCCAGAGTGCTATTCAGCTGTCTTTTCCTAAAAGAAATTTATCCTTGCTGCGGAGGACCAAAGAACTCAGGAAAAAGGAAGAGAGATTTACCTGATAGCATTTATATCATCAATAATTTAGACATAAATAGGTAAACTATTTACAACCAAGAACTGCATTTCTTTTTTCATCTGAAGGTGAAAGGAACATAGTGATTATATTAATAAAGAGGGTGGGCATCAAAACTTTGGCCCATTTAGGGTTTTGGAGGACTTTTTAACATAAAATAAGTTAATTAAGATTAGTTTCGTGGGAATATGGACTTCACCATGGAAAATACAGCTCCGTGTCTATTTTAGATTTAGAGGCTTTGGTGAATGAGTAATCCTAGAAATTATGAGCAGGCAGGGAACATGACCCTTTTAATTCTTCTAGATCTTTCAGCAATTTTTGATGATATCAGTACTGAAATTGTTGTGAACCTCATGTCAGCATGCTAGCCATACTATCTTTGAGATATGGTCAGTGAATAGAAGCAATTTGGTTTACTGGGCCACAGGTCGTAATTGATTCTTCTCCCTGTTGCCACTCAGAGTCAATTTAGCTTGATGTGAATGTTTTCTTACAAGGGTACTTTCAGAGGTCATAAGTATGGGAGGGAAGTGGGGGAGTCTCAAAGGTTTGGTAGTGAATGCAGCTTACATGTGTGGGGGGGTACCTTTTATCACCACAGGAGGTGGATTTTTTATTTTCTGGTACTTGAAGTTGAGCGAGATTTTTTTTTTTTTTTGGAGTACTGATTTGGGACTTGATTCCCAAGCAATTTCTTTTGTTGGTGACCTTTAGATTTTTCTCACTTGCATTATAAAGAATTACATAAAAATATGCCTCATAACAACAGTGAGCTATGAAAGGCCTGGGTTTTTTTTTCCTGAACTCAGTGGACCCAATTTAGCCTTCATGGCCTTCCTTTAATCTGGCCCTAGAGAATGTGGCCATTTCAACTCTCCTTCTCAAGGATAAACTGTTGCTTTTTTCTTCGGCTGAAGTTCTTTATGAGACTAAAGCATAACCTGGAGGCCTAGAATTTGTTCCAGAAAGCATTTTCTGCCTATCCCATTCATGATGTTAGAATAATATTGGCCATTTTGTAATGGAATGGAATTATGAAGGCTAGGCTCAAGGAGATAAGTGTTTTCTTAGTTCCCACGCTCTTTCAGTGAACTAAGAAAACACTTATCTCCCTGAGCCTGGCCTTCATAATTCCATTCCATCATACATTTCTAGTTCTGCGTTTCCTACACTACAGCCTTTTGCTAGGATGCATGATAAGGGAGGGCAGTGAAGAGATGGGCTGAAGGGAGAATTTAATAGTGTTCCTCCCCTCCCTCAAGAAAAAGTCTGACCTTTGGACATTTTCCACCCTCCACATTATGGCATTTGTTACTATTATTATGTTTTTATTATTATTTTAGGTTTTTATCCTGCCTTTTTTATTTTTTAATTATTTTTATTTTTTTGTTTTATTTATATTTCAAATTTGGACACTGCCCATCTCACGAGGAAGTGACTCTGGGCGGTTTACAATAAAAACAACAAATAAATATCAGTTAAAATAGAATAAAAATAATATAAAAATACAATAAAACCAAATACATACATAAATGATATTTTCCAAGATACTGGTGATCAAAAAGATATTAACATATGGGAGCATCTTCAAGGTGCTAGCCACCCCCAGGGTTGGCTGCCTCTTTTCTCACCCCATGCAAGTTGGCAGAACCAAGTCTTAACTGCTTTCTGGAAGGTCAAGAGAGTAGGGGCCTGCCTCACCTCTTGGGGGAGGGTATTCCATAGGGTGGGGGCCATAGCAGAGAAGGCTCTCCTTCTGGGCCCCGCCAGTTGACATTCTTTCGTTGACGGGGTCTGCAGCATGTCCTCTCTGCTTGACCAGGTGGGATAAGTCAATATAATGGGGTGAGATGGTCCCTCAGGTAACCCAGTCCCATGCCATGGAGGGCTTTAAAGGTGATAACACCTTGAATTGGACCTGGAAGCAAACTGGCACCCAATGCAGCTCATGCAGCAAAATGTAACATGTGCCATCTTTGAGGCACCCAAAATTGCCCGTGTGGCTGCATTTTGAACCAGCTATAGCTTCTGGATACTCTTCAAGAGTAGCCCCATGTATATACATAAATGAGGGCGGTGAACATATGTAATACTCCTGCCTCCTATTTTTCTCACAATAACCACAAGGTCTTTAACATTTATTTAAATTATGGAGGTTTTTTTAGTTTGTTTCTATGAAAAGCACTTGAAATTGTAATATTAAATATAGAAATATATTTTCTTTTTTCTTCTTCAATAGGAGTTGGTGCAGCTGTAATTGATACCTATCTTTATGTAGTTGGTGGACACTCAGGGTCATCCTATCTTAATACTGTACAGAAATACGACCCTATATCTGATAATTGGCTGGACACTGCTGGTATGATGTACTGCCGATGCAATTTTGGCTTGACTGCACTTTGAAGAAGAATATATTTGAGGACTCAAGTAGACTGAAGATACCCAGCCCATACACAGCAGAAGCTGTATTTCTTCAAGATGGGAGAAAGGAGAGACAGCTTAATTATAATGCAAACAGGTGAACCCCAAATAAGGCTTGGGTATTGTTGGTAGGAAAGAAATGGAAGGAGAGAATATGGAATTGTGTTTCTAATGGGTATCCACATTGCATACTGTTATTGATCTGAAATAATTTATCTTGAAACAAGAAGCACTGTGTTGCCTGCAGTAGGCATAGAAACTCCCAGACTCAGAGCTTTGATCTTCTTTCTCTTCCTGTGACTGGCATAGGTATTGCTAAAGGGGTGGGATCATTTGAGTGTGTTGCACAATCTTACTAGATGTCTGTCTCCATCTTTACATAGAGACCATAATTGCTTCACAATTTTTTATGAACAGTTAAAGGGCTGCCTTTTCTCTCCACCCATTACACAGGTTTTGTAAATATCTGATACTGTAATCTGTTTATCTGCACTTAATACATCTCTCTTTTGGGGGGTAACTTGCTGGAGGATAAGAATGAATAGCTATTTTCAGCTTAATGCACTTAAAGTTTCATTTTTATCCTTATACTATTTGGACCTGCCTGTACATCTAAAACATAATTCTTCTCACCCTTTATCTGAAGATCTACAGCTTACAAGCTGATAGAGAAAACCCATGTTGTTTGGGTTTACTGAAATAATGCATAATGATATCCTAACACATGTGTAAATGCTCCAAAAAAAAAAACTTCCCACCCCAGTGCATAAATCTGTGGTATGTAGCCCACATGTGACTTCAAAGAATGTACAACCAATTTTTCAGTGTGTACTGACTTTGACATGGTGCTAAACAATTAGACTATTGAGATTGCTAGAAATCTTAAGAGCAAGTCCCACTAAAATAAGAGGGATTAATTTTCAAATATGTACAGCATTGGACTAAGGCAAAATTTTGACTAAAGTAATACATTGTCTTCATTTGGTGATCTGCAGGTTGTGTAATGAATGCTGACAGACTAAAATATGATGGACTCTTTCTTTTTACTTATTTTTCTTCTCTATTCCTGTGAGATTTTCAAACTTTTCTTGTGCTAATTTTTATTAGGTGAGCATGTTTGGAGAACTCATACCTGAACAAATTAGAGAATGAAGGGAGTATTTATTATTTCCTGATAGATAGTTATTTTCCTTAAAAAATGAATTAGGCAACAGTAGTGGATATTTATCTCACTGTACTCTTCAACAGTAGTCCCTCCAAACATTGCTTTGAGATATCCTTCAACTCAGCAGAACTTTTTAGTAGTGGTTGGATTGTTCTATTAACAGGACGGTTCCTCTAATAAATTGAAATCTGGTCATCCTGAAACTGTTAGGTTCTGAGAGACTGAAGCATGAGCCTGTATTTTAATATTATTTCACATAGATAACTGAAACTGTTTCTGCAGGTTTCTATTTCAGGTATTTTTCAATGTATATTTCTGCTTTGTCAAATGAGTTGTATTTAAATTTACTCTTGTCTGCCTTTTCTCCCTTTGAAAATACATTTCTCCTCATCTCCCTTTAGCACGATTTTTGGTAGTATTCACAAACATGCAATAATAAGATGTGTGGCTGATTTGTATTTTGAGCCTTTTACTTCTGTCTGTGTAAAAGGGGAGATTATGGACTAGTAATCTGTGCTGTGTAATAAGAATGGCAGCTAACCAAGCTGCAAAGGCTCTTCTTCTTCCATGAGCTAATCAATGTTCTGATTAAAACCAGAAGAGCACACTTCTTAAACTACTTAACATCACTTTTCTACCAACACTTGAACATGTTATCAAATCCTAAAACTCTTGTTTAGATATTTGTGGAGTTAAGCAGAGTTTTGAAGCAACTTAACTGATGAAACAAGCAATTTGTAATATGCTAGTTGATACATGTTATGCAGCAATAATAGCATAATGCAACATTTACATTGATTTTTTTATGCATGGAATTGTGCGCTTAGGACATTCTCATTCATTTCAGTGAAACTCATTTGGGAGATCTGGACTCTGAAGAAAGCAACCATATGGGACAATAGAAGCAGCTGCTTGTTATGGATCGGCAGCTATTCAGTTTCAGTTCGCGAAAATGCACGGCTAAATTGTTTTTTGTCCTAGGTCTCTCTCCAAGCTGCCTTTGTATTTAGAAAAATATATTGGTATCTGGTAGGTGTTTAGGAAGTCACATAGTGAGATTCTGGGAATAGAAAGAGCAGCTCTGGATAGTGAGAAAGAGAAAATTGGTCATGCAGGGGAGAATGGTAAAAAATATTGCTGTAGCTAAAGGACTTAAGAAGAGTTCCCCTGGTTGTCTGCCTTGTTCATGCATGTTTTGCAGAGCATCCACTCAAGCTGTTTTGGTAGGCAGATCTGAATATCAGACTTAAGGATATTTTTTTTGTTTTTGTTCTAAAAAAGGAGTTCAGAATGTGACAACATATGACATTCTTCAGTCCTTTTGGGTGATGGCATGTACCCAGCAGGAAGTCAGTTAATCTTAATATAGCACTTTTTGTGTTATTAGTAATCTCCAGGCAGTTTGAGGGCAGTCCTCGTTGTGCAATTCAGCTTAAGGACGTTGTTGATTTATTTGAGCCTAGCTTAATCTTTGTCTGCAAGGAGACTTGGTTGATTGGTTTTTAATGATGTAGACCATCTATATTAAGAACAAATTAAGGCACAAATAGCTATTTTAGTCAAGATCAGATTAATTGCAGATTAATTCACTAGTGCAGTAGACACTGTCTTTGTAGCAAATATAGGGAATAACATATTTAAATAAATTCACCATAGTCAGTTCTCTTTTATTTTGCCATTCACTGAATTGCTCAAGCGTAGACAAATTAGACAACCAATTTTAACATACGTAGGCTGCAATAAGCTTATTATAGCTCAGCATTGCAGAGAAGGCCTTTTCCTAAAATAGTACCTACCTTAACATCCAGTTCCACAAAACCATTCAAGTGACTTATTTAATGATTAAGCAAAAGCACTTTAACATTTACTGGCTGCTTATTTTCAGGCTTTTCTTTTGTTTGGAAAAAATAATAGTTAAACCCACAGCTTTGTACGTAAGTTAGATAGGGCAGCATTATATACATATGTAATATCCCATTTAAAATGATAGCTCCAGAGCCAGACAAATGTTTCCAGTGTCAGCATCTGTTACAGAAGAATTTATCTTCTCATAATATACCTATTCATGATAAATGAGTAATTATGAGAGAGAGAAGTTAGCACTTAGCCCTTGGCTAGCTCTTCTCTTCGGTCAGGAAATATAAAATGGTATAGAAGAGTCCCTGGAGATATGTCAACCAGAGTGTAACATTGGGGCATTGTAGCGGTTAAGTATTTTTGTTATGTGGCAAACCTAGGCAGCCTTCTCTCTATTTCCATTTTTTTCTTCTACCCCATCTACCAAGGTTCATTTGTTAACTCCTTCCATTGTATGAAAGAATATGAACTCCTAACTTGCCTTAAATCCCTTTTCATTCATAAAAGAACTGAGAGATAATTCCTTTCTTTGCCTTACATGCTATGCTGTGCTTTCACCTCTTTGACCCAATTCCAAACCTTCATGCACAGTAGTTTTCAGTAGGATTCTAGCCTGCACAGAGGGATTTTCTGTGGATATTATCAGACAGGCAATATTGTTTTATTGTTTGCATTCTCCTACCAGCAGAATTTCATTTCTTTCTTTCTCTGCCATCCTTCTTTACAAAGATGGTAGTTGAGTGGGAAACCACTCAATAATTTTCTCCTTTTTTGTTTGCTAAATGTGGTCATGTTCTGTTGTTATTGCTACAGTATTTCATTTCAATGTGCACTGTTTACTAAATAAATTTATGAAAGCAAAAAAGTTCAGTTGTAATTCTTTTTAATCTAACTTGATTATCTTCATCTTTAAATATCATAGACAAACCAGGAATAATCTTTAATAAACACACTTTTATTTCCAATATGCTAACCAAGTCAGGTAGTAATCATGGATAACTTACTTGCCTGTCCCTGGGGCACCGCATGACATGGCAGTCAGTTGCAATTTGCCAGTTACCCTTGATTTTGCTCAGTATGTGACACTTCTATATTGGCTGCCTAGCCGACAGTTTGTTTTGGGGGCTTCCTGTTTTTTAAATAAATTTATTTAATCATTACTCCATGGTTCATTGGTGTAAAGTTAAAATGTTGGACTAGGACGAACAAACTTCTTTCTGACTGATAGACTTAAAAAGAAAAAGATTCCATTTCAATGGGACAAAAAGATTCCATTTCGATGGGATTAACTTTTGGCCTGATTATGGATTACAAATGCTTAACATGGAATATAAATAGAGCAAATGCTCCTCAAAAGAGAAAAAAAAATTCATTATTTGAAAAAAACAAGATATAATTTGCTTACAAGTAACATGTATTAGAAAAAACGATATAAAATATTTGACTTACAAAAATGTGGGTGAAGAATTTATCTCAGCAGGAAAAAAAAAGAAATGGAGTTGTTTTGTATATAAACCCCTTATGGACTTTTTGCATGAAACACAAAAAAAAAATGAACTTATGATCTATGGTTTTGACTATTAGATGGGATAGATTATAGAAAGAAGAATCACGATGTAATTTTAGAGAAAAGTAAATCTACAATTGTACTTAGAAGTGCTATAAAGAAGATTGGAAGCCATTTCTTTATATTTTCTTTTCTATTTTTCTACCTTTTTTTCTTTTTGCACTTTAGATTCCTCTTTTACTTTATTTTTATTTTATGTATTTATATGACACATTTATATAGCCACTCATCTCACACAAAGCAACTCTGGGCAGCGTACAATAAATAATAAATGGATAAAAACGATCATTATACAAAGATAAAAAGTGATTATTACAATGAAAACCTCAAAAAAATTTTAAAAAATAAGTTTTAAAATATACAAACCCCACGGAGAGAGCATAATATCAATTACAATGGAGCCGTCTAAGGATTTCCTTTTCTTTTTTCCTTCTTACTTTATTTTAGTTTGTATTAATTTTTACTCTTGTTTCTTAAAACTTTCAATAAAATTATATTTTAAAAAAAGATTGATTGGATAAAGCTAAACACTGACTAGAAGCATAAACCCAGTAAAAAATGTTTCTATTACATTTATGTAAAACCTTTTATGTTCCACCCTGCAATCTAGTAGGTTCCCAGAGTAGTTTACAAAACTATAAAAACAAGATAAAAACAGACCTTGCCATCAAACTGACAGTCTAAAAGAAAGGGGATGGAAATGAAAATCAAGATAATGGAGGCACCAGTTTATAATACTAGGATGACCAGCTGTGATGGAAATGAGTTGTGCAGGAGGGTCTGGATGACTTCTTTCACTTTCAGAGCAGATGGCCCTGTTGCCTTTTTTCACAGGACATTTGATTCCAATAGTCTTTGTGGGAGTAAACAAGAGATCATCATAATGACAGTGACTAACATCATTCAATAAAAGCAATGGAAAAAAAGTTTCCTAATACTAGGTTCATTCATCTATTATATCCATCTAGTGTTGGACTTGATGGCCTTTAATCAATGACAGCATCTGAGACCTTGGCTGATCTCAGAAGCTAGGCAGGTTCACCTTGATTAGTGCTTGCATGTGGGATTGACCAATGACTAGGGATGTCCAAAACCTAATGCTTGGGGAATAAACATTCCAGAGAACTCCAGAACTTGTCACTATAAATGACATGCTGTGGAGTAGAATTAAATTCATTACTACACCAAGTGAATCCCATTGTTAAGTAACTTTCTGGACAGAAATCACTTGTGTTTTTGTATTTGCCTTAATCTTGCTAATTGTGGGACAATATTTTTCTTTCTCATTTGTATTTCCTCCTTTGTCTGCCTGACCACTGTTATTTTCATTCTTTCTCATTGTACCGGCAAGTTTATCCATTATAAACTTGTGGCCACAATGTGCACTTCCAGATATCTTCTCTGGTGTCCAGTAGTACTATTACCGTTCCTTACTGACCACACAACTTTTAGTTGTTACCTAGAGAATAACTATTCCCCTTCTGGATTACATGGTGGAAAAACAGTCATCTCCTACATTTTTTAACTCAAGGATTAGCTCATCAGCTAACTCAGAACATTTAACAACATATATGCCCAACTCAGAAGAGTTTATAGGTTAAAATAAAATTTTGATGGCACCCCTGCATGATCTCTGTGGCACCTCAAGTTGCCACAACACCCTGATTGAGGATCACTGGATTACATGTGTGATTAAGGGAAAACACCAGCATCCTTGAGAGTAAGGCTTATAATAATTTATTAAATTTATATGCAGCCTGACTCCCAGTGACTTTGGGTAGTTTACAAATTGTTAAAAACATTTAACAATACAAGATACACAAAACAAAGATGGCAGAGAAAACAAACCAAGATGGGAACAAGAAGAAAGAAGAAAAGATGCATCAATCATCCTCACCAAAGGCCTGAGGAAAGAGCCGTGTCTTCAGGGCCCTTCGAAATACCAGTAAGGTGGGGACCATTTGAATCTAGGGGGTAACCTCATTCCAGAGGGCAGGCACTGCTACAGAAAAGGCACTCTTCTGTTTAATCAATGGAACTTGGAGCGCGCCGACCCTGCCAGATCAGATTGGCTGGGCAGATGTTATGGGAGATAGCCAGTCCCTTGTGTAACCAGACCCTATGCCGTATAGGGCTTTATAGGTAGCGACCCTGAATCACACCCTGAAGCAAACTGGCAACTAGCGCAGCTCGCAAAGCAGAATGCTGGATTCTGGACCAGCTGAAGCTTCCAGGTGGTCTTCAAGCATAGCCCCACGTAGAGTGCATTGCAGCAGTCATGCCGTGACTGTCTGAAGGACCCCTGCAATCTAGGAAAGGCTGCAACTGCTGCATCAGATGAAGCTGTGCAAAGGCCTTCCTGGCCACAGCTGCCACCTGCTCATCAAGCAGGAGCTATGAGTCCAGGAAGTCACCCAAATTGCACATCACCTTTGGTCATATTTGGAATACCCCAGATCTGGACAGTCCAAACCAATGCCACTCGGTCTTGGTAGGATTGAATCAGAGATGGTTCCTCCCCATCTGTGATGGAATGCAGTAGAGACCCAAGTTCTCAGGAAGGAGGGAGGGCATTCCCAGAAGGAAAAGCGGGAGGCAAGAGGCAACATAGTCCAGAGCAGGAGCATGGGAAGAAGAAGAGACTTAAGATAGCCACTCCCTAGATTCTCCCAGAGTATATCTATTAGGTTAGCATAGAACACATTCAGTCTGGCAAGATTGTGTCTAGATGGTGTAAGCAATAAAGAGCTGAACTTGGCTAGACTGTTTCCCTGTTGTTCTTTGGCTGGGCCTGACTCCATCCAAACCTGCACAGCCTCCAGGCACTGGGTCAGAACCTCGACAGCTTCATTTGGCCACCTGGAGTCAAAAGATATAATTGGGTACTAGACAATCCATGACCCATCGGGTCGACATTTCAGAGATATTTCCTTGCCTGAACAGAAACAGAATGACCAAGGGTAAAGAAGCAGTGGGAGTGGGAGCGATTTACGACTTGCTGCTGGCTCCCCCATTGACTTTGCTCGTGGAAAGCTGGCAGGGAGCGTCAGAAATCTGCCTGCCTGCCTTCCTTTCCACCTATAATACAGGCTTGCGCCGTTTGCCCTTCTCTCACGGCCCTCAGGAGAGCCCTGTTGAAGCCTCCTCCTTGGCTGACTGGCAGAACTGCCTGCCACTTTGCTGGAGGGAGGTGGAACAAAGGGAGCCGCAGACCGTGAGGATAAGCGACACCCCCACTTCCCATTCCGGCATCTCCCCAAGGGCCCCCTCCCTTGAGGAAGGAGGAGGGCTCACCCATCCACCACTGGAGCCCCCCAGCCAGCCCTACCTCGCCAGCAGGCAGCTGCCGAGGTTGAGAAACGCTGCGACTAGCCGTAACTAAGCAAAAGTCCCTTATCAATCGATGAAGAAATGTCATGCCTACACATTTAATAAAGAAAGAATACGGGACAGAACATCTCTAAAACATGTTGCATTTCATTATTCCTTTTTAAAAAGAAATCATCGGGCAGTTGCTGGTTCATTCATCTATCCACTGCGAGAGCTCCGCCGACTTGAAAATTCCGCGGAACGCTGACGTCACGCTCGTCAGCCTGAGAAAGCCGCTCCAAAGCAGGGAAAGCAGAAGGGCGGGGGAGCGGGGGAAGAACTGGGGCAAGCTGTGATTGGTTCGCTGCGGAGCCGTTCTCCAATCAATCAGGGGCGGGAGGAAGGACCACCAGCCCCCTCGGGCAGCGGAAACGAGAAAGCGCACGCATGCCTGGTTTCTTCCCGGGGGTGACTCGCCCCTTTTCCCGGAATCCTCTCCGACTTGTTTCCTGGCGCCCGGCCAAGACGGAAGTGGCCCAAGATGGTGGCGGCCGTTATTCCCCTCCGTGCCTCCTCAGCGAGGCCAGCCTGGGTAGCGGTGGCGTCGCTGCTGCTGCTGCTGCTGCTGCTGCTGCTAGGGCCGGGACCCGCGTTGGCCGGGCGGAATCAAGTCAAAGTGCTGACTGACGGCGCATGGCAGGAACTGCTGCAGGGCGAGTGGATGGTGGAATTGTGAGTCCTCACGGGCGGAGAAGCACTTCTTTTCTCAGAAGGGCCCGGGGAATCGTAGGATTGGGACGGACCACAGGGATCATCTAGTCCAGCTCTCAAGAAAGGAGCACTCTGTACCTGCTCAGGGGTACTCCCTCCACCTTTCGCTAGTCCACTTCTTCCCCCCTTCACCCGCCAATCATGGGAACAAAGGATGCCCTGACTCTCCTCTCTCTCCCTTGGGGCTGCCCATCTAATGGTGGAGGGCAGCGTTTGTCAACCTTGGCTACTTTAAGATGAGGGAATTCTGGGTGTTGAAGTCCCCCCATCTTAAAGTAGCCAAGGTTGACAAACGCTGGTCAAGAGGAATTTTGCACCCTTGATTTGGTAACCCTTTGGGGGAGGGGAGTTTCTATCCACTACAAATCATCAGGCCTGGGTGGGAGGAGCTCTGCTAACTGTTTTAGGCCAGCCACTGCTCTGCGGAACTGAAAGCAGGAGCACGTGGTTCCAGTTTTTGAATGAATCAGAAATGAGTAGGCTAAGGCTGGAGTGCAGGTTGCAGTCTTTCTCCCACCCAGCAGCTCCCAGTGTGCTGTATCCTAACTGCCTTGTTTCCCCCATGCCCTCCTTCCTTTGTTCAGTGCAGTATATTCCACTGGCCTGTGTTCTCCATCACATTTTCTCCCTCCCCTCAGCCACTGCCAGTGTACTGGCTTGTGCACCAAGTCTAGCCAGTTAGGAACAGGAGTCCCTGCCTCCCATCAACACCACCGTCCGTGCCTTTTCCCTCTGCTTCCCCCCACTCCCAACAGCTTTTGCCTGAAGTAAAACAGCTCCAGTTTGCTCCATGCATGGAGTGTTTTGGTTTGGGCACAGACGACCTAAAATCAGCTGCTCTGCGCAGTTAATGTATGGAATGTTTTGCACATCTCTAGCACTTGGTTCTTGAGATGCTTCATGAGTATTCAAGGACATTTTGTCTCCTGTTGCTGAATTATTTTAGTTATTAAGGTTAATGTTTCTGTGAATAATTGTCACACGAAGTAATATAATGTAATAAAACAATTCGGTGTGTCATAGAATCCAGTGAAGTTGATCAAGGTTTTATGAATGCAAGCTGCTTTATATTACTGAGTTAGAACCCCAGTGATTTGTTTACTCCAGAGTATTATTTCTGGTTTGCAGTAGCTGTTAAAATTCTTGGGTAAAGAGGCTTTTTCTAGCAATCACAACTTCATATCCTTTGAATTAGATATGCCAAGGAATGAGCTAGGAACATTTTGTGTGCAGGGCACATGCTCTTCCCTTGAAATTTTGCCCCTTTTAATCTTGAATATTTCTTACACTGTATCCAGTTTTGCTCTATTTTTTGTCATACTACAAGGTAGACAATATAGAGTGCCTTCCAGATGTTTTGGATTATAGTTTCCATAAATCACATTAGCAATATACTAATATACAACATACAGGAAGTATATACTTCAAAACACCTGCCGTTTTTTTTACTCTCAACTACAGAAAGAAAAGTGTTTTTTTCCCCTGGATGAAAGTTGGTTACATAACATTTATTTTTCAGCTATGCTCCTTGGTGTCCTGCCTGTCAGAATTTACAGCCAGAATGGGAAAGCTTTGCCGAATGGGGAGAGGATCTTGAAGTGAACATTGCCAAAGTGGATGTAACAGAGCAGCCAGGTAAGTTGTTCTATCTGTTATGAATAGAATAATGTAAAATATGTTTCATTACTTTAGAGTAAGTTATGCACATTTGCAAGGTTTTTCTCCAACCGGAAATTTGCTTTCAGTACAATGCAATTTGTACGTAGCTTCAAGCTTTTTCCATCAGATAGATTTCAAGTATGTTCTGAGGATCGTGATAGTTCTTCAGAAACTTTTTGGGAATTCCTTAGTGAGAAGTTAAATTCATGTTGAAAACTGTTTCAGGAGATCAGTTTGGACTACTAATGTCCCTGCACTGGGGGCACTTCAGTGTAGATAAAATAAGATGATTATTTATTTATTTATTTATTTATGTATTTATTTATTCAAAAATCAAATTTATACACCACCCATCTCACTATACAAATGACTCTAAGCAGCTCACAAATAAAAACCATAAAAACAGTAAGCATTTTTAAAAGATATGCAAAGTTAAAAGATGGAGAGAGCATCCTCAAGCCACCAGCCACCCCCAGTGCTGCAAATCCCCACTGGATCTCCAAGTTAGTTGGCAGAGCCAGGTCTTAACATTTTTCTGGAAGGCCAGAAGAGTGGGGGCCAATCTCACCTCAGGGGGCAGAATATTCCACAGGGTGGGGGTGATGGCAGAAAAAGCTTTCTTCCTAGACCCTGCCAATCTGAAATAAGATTATGAATTCTCTAGTTCATTCCTCTGAGTCCTCTGCTTAGTTGACAAACTGATGGGGAAGGTTTTTTGAACAAAAGTCCTATAATCAGATATATAGTTTCAGTATTGAGGGTTTTTATGGAAAGTTTTCCATTCAAAATTATTCCTCTATCATGAATTATGTAGCTTAGAGCAAATTACATGGAATTAGGAATGCTACTCACTTCCAGTTTTATTTGTGGTATGGAAACTATAACAATTGTTGGTTTGCTGAAACATTATGTGTGCTGCTATTGTTACAACTTTAAAGATAGCAAGATGTGTGCTAGGAAAATTGAATAATGTAATAGTTTGGTAACTGAATAGTTTAATAGATTATTGTAAGCTGAATAGTTAATGGCTGATAACATGCTGGAAAAGTGAAACATTAATTTCATCAACTGAAAAGTTCTGACCACTACCATTTTTGTCTGCCTTTTGAATTTTTAACATAAATAACATATCTAACTATTATACTACTAAAACTCTCATGTCTGTTTGTAACCTTTAACTGGACAAAATGGTGTGTCATAGGCCAACCATTTTTGAACCAAGATACTTCAAATGGGCTAACTTATAGAATGTGTCCAAAATTTGGGACCCATGACTCCCGTGGAATTGAAATTCGGCAAATTTTATATAACATATTGTGATATAAAAATTATCATAAAACATTTTATGACATAATACAAAATGTCATAATACATTTCCTGTGGTCAGCTCCTGATGTTTGACTGTGCTATACAGTTCAATATGAATGACATGGGCTATTTTCAAGGCAGGATGATTTTTACTGATCAAGGCCTGACAGTTCTGGATATGGCTGTTGGCAATATTTATATTGTTTATAGGATACTGGTGATGGAATGGGATGGGATGGTCTTGAATAATATTACTTGTAACCTTTGTCTCTTTAAAAAAGTCATCTGCAATTGTATGCATAATTGGAATGAGGAAACTTAACTTGAGCATTTGTGACTGAATACCTTGAAATACATCTACCATAATGAACTCTTGACCTTCATTTTCTCTCTGGATCATTATACAGGGCTAAGTGGAAGGTTTATCATAACAGCACTTCCCACCATTTACCAGTAAGTACTCTAAAGCCTATTGAGAGGTTTTCGTCTCAAAAGCAAATAGGAAAATACAGGATTTCTCACTACTTCTGTTGTAGTAGTTCTGAACGTCAAGGAAAATAGCTGTTTGGAGAATGATAAAAGACATGGAATTTAAAATCATTAATGGAATAAAACCTGTAAAGTAGTACTTGTTAAATTCTATTTTGTCTTCAAAACATAGAAATAGATTGACAATTAATCAGCTTTTCCTGTTAGCGATAAAGGACAGTGGTTTCTCTTCCATCATAGAGGGCTCTTGCAGAAATGATGACAGATAATTGTAACAGTGTTTTTGTTCCTTAACCAGCCAAGGCTAAATCACAGCAGTGTCCCACTGAAACCTTTGGGATCAGTTAGTTATTTTGTTTTAATACAGTTACATAACTAAATTGATCAGAGTTGTTGATGGACATATTTATTTATCATACTTGTATGCCGTGCAGCTCATAACAATCAAAACAAGGACATCACAATAAAACCAATTAAAAGGAAGATAAAAGGTGGCAAGAATGACAGACTGGATGGAAGTGAAGGAAAGGGACTTGCTGTCCCTTAGTGTCTTTGAGCAAGGCTAACTTGCAAAATAAAACAAGGGGAAACAAGCAGTTAAAGGAACAATCTTGGGACATAATTAAAACAAGCAGTAACTCAAGAATGAAAACAAAATAGGAGAGGGCGGAGCTGGCGTCGCGGCGATACGGCGGGCGATCCTGGGCTC